AGGACGCGGCGCGACACTCGGTCGACGCAATGCGAGGCAGAGTAAACATACCGTAAAACGCATGACATGGTCCACGCTCAGGATGAGTCGAGTAAAATCAGGTTTAATGCTAACAGGGACTTCATTTGAACGGGTTATTTGAAGAAGGCGTATCCACCGAATCCTTAGAAATAGAGTTTTCGACCGCACTTTGAGCGAGGACCGGATGGATGCTAATGGCGCTTTGCGAGTTGGCATTACTGTTTTTTCTCCTTTGGGATCCATTAAAAATATCGGTTTTAGTGAAACCAGAGAGTTAAGACAACGCAGCTCATGGATGTCACAAACGGGAATAAAGATTACACAAATTGAACGTTTTTTGTAATCTTTGATTGCAGCATAATGATTCTTAACACTGTCATTGAACATGCATGCATTGACTGTCAGATTTCTGCTAAAAATGACATTACTGAACAGTTTTGTGGAAGAAGGGCCACCAAAATTTTAAAAAATGTATTTTTTATCTGATTTATCTGGCCCCGCCGATGTCTGTATGAGTTTTAATGAAAGGTGGTATACAGAGGAGCATTGGCTAATTTTTGCGAACAGAAATGTGCGGAATTATGCATCGAAGAAATTTAAGTGATTTCAATCCGACCATTAGGAGCTTTGCACTTTTGCAGTCTGAAAATACAGGGGCAATTTATATGACTGCTGCAAAAACACCGCGCACAATTTAACATCACATTTACTCACGAGATGAGCAAGATACGCAGTGATAAACTTTACGCATTTGCATTCGTTATTTGAAACCGTTTTTTATGACTTCTTCCAGCCGGGGCAATAAAGACATTACGCTTCCTACTGCCGCTACTCCTGGTCCTCTTGTTTGAAAATGTACGTATTTCTATCAAACAGAACTATGTGCATTGTGACGTGAGCCCTGTAATGCATATATCCTTATGGGTCTCAGGGCTCATGTCTTGATGCACATAGTGCCGTTTGATAGAAATACGTCCAACTGTACTGACACAGTCGTGCTATGCTGCCGTGCTAAGGAAAAACGCCGTATGAACATTCAAGAGTTGCCAAATTTCATTCGATGAAATGTTTATTATTGAGGAAATTTATGAATATTTTTCCTTGAAATTTTCAGGGACTTTAGTTGAAATTGCGAGCAAAATTATCTGAACAAATTAGAGGAAAAACGTTCATAAGTACCTACAGCAGGAAATTCGTGTTTTAACAAAGGAAATTTGGCAACGCCTGATGGTTCATACGGCGCTCTACCTTAGCACAGCAGCATGGGCAACACTGTAATTAACATGGAATAAAGTGAAGAAACATCTGATGATTTTCAGTCATTCAAATGAAAAAAAAATAGAAAAGACTATCAAAGTGTCCATATTTCATCTCCAGAAAATCTAGTAGCCACTATACCACATTTCTTGAATCATACTTCACCACAAGACATTTAAAGTAAAAGATAGGAAACACTTAATGAAAGAATAATCTCAAAATGTGTAAACTCAAAATATTTTAAAAATCAACCGCAATGTTAGAAATATATTCTCCGCCAAGGGAGGTAACTTTTTCTGTGTATTCCTCACAAGTTCGGTTATACGAGGCAAACTTTCGATTACACGAGATGAAAGGCGAGTTAGACTAACCGAATGGTTGGCATGATACAGAACACCTTGTTTTCCTTCATTTTGTGGATATGCAATTTTATCTGCCTGGAAGTCAAAATAGTTGGATCACGTTTCTCGCCCCATCCAACTTTTCTACTGTGGCGTTGAAATCCCTGAGTAGTCTCAGTCAGCCGAAAAGAGTTCACGTTCTCCTTCATTTCGCGGAAAAGCAATTTTATCTTCTTGAGAGTCAAAATAGCTGTATCACGTGTATCGCCCCATCCAACTTTTCTACTCTGGCGTTAAAGTCTCCTGAGTCAGCAGAAAAGAGATCAATCTCTTCCTCATGTATTGTTGTGGATATGCGAGAAAATTTTGTTGCTTCAAAATTGGATTACATTTTGCGATTAGAAACTACTATTTTTGGCTCAGTTTAGGAACAACGCATGTACCATCAGTTTCCCTATGCACATAAGTGTTTTTGCAGATAATTCAGAAATTATAGTTCAGAATTGCAAAATGTATTGTAACCGGATCTGCGGAAAACCCCCCGTCTTACGGAGGAAAATTTCCGAAACTTTAAACTTTGCGCGAGTACCGATCACGGGAAGCGCTTGCAAACCGGTAGGGATACTTCAAGCATTGCGCCGTCTTCCCAGGCGCAACCCTACTGCGCGAATCAACCCAAACCAAAATTTGGCACAAATGAGGTATTTTGCGCGAGCGGAGGAGAGTTTAGAAGCGGGGTCACTAGTACTGCGCAAGTACAGATTGAGCTGGGCCTTCTCAAATCCAAATGGAATCTTCTACAAAACTTATGTCAATTTCATTGAATAAAAAAAATGGGCTCTGGGAGAATGTCAGAGCTCGACCTGAAACTACCTAAAAAGTGCTGGCGCGGGGGGCGCGGGTGTGAGGCAGGTAAAGGGACGTACAGTAGCGTGACGTGCTTTGCGATACATCGATTGATCCGCCATTTAAACCTATGGAAAATTATCGACAAACAGGGTGTTTTTCCTTGAAATTTTCAGGATTTTTCGATGAAATTGCGAACAAAACTATCCGAAAATTGGAGGAAAAATATTTACAAATTTTCCAGAAAATTGGTGATTTACCAAAGGAAATTTGGCAACGCCTGAAGGTTCATACTGCGTTTTTCCTTAGCACGGCAGTATTCAAAATCGTAGTCTACGTATCATTTTCCATCTGCCAACGCAGTTCGCGATCGACCACCGAACGGTTGTTGGTTCGTGAACATTCTGCACCCCTGTACCAGTGCCGAGTTTATACCATAAAGCGAACTATACCGAAGATTTAGAAGTTCTAGTAAAACACCATAAAAAAAGAGGGGGAAAAGTTGTTGAGAGTTCTTAGGATGCTCTGAATGGAATTGAAAGGTATATAGGGTACACGAAAACAACTAGGTATCTCAGATCCAGAGGTATATTCATAACATTTTAAATTCATTTATACCATAAACAGTTAACACTAATTGAGTGTGAAAACAGCAATTTTGCGCCAAAGGCTCAACAAACATCAAAATTTAACAAGGTAAATCTAACATATCTACTGTCGGTCGTAAAGGATTTTCCATTTATTGTCGAGTTCACGTAAGGAACAATATGTAATATTTCGTCAGGAATTAACAATTAGTTATTCTAGGTTTCTTATCAAATAAATGCAATTTCATGACCCATTTGAAACGCCGTTCACTGAATACTAACTTACTACATAATATAAGCCTCATTTTTTCCGTAGACTTGGCATAATATACAGGATCGTCCCTGACAGTAAAAATTAACGCTGACGGAGAAATAAAATAGGGTAGAATAGTTTCCAGCCATTAGGCTTACAAAACTGAGAAAGTAACACAGACACACGGCTATTTAAAAACATAGTAAAATTTGAAAACAAAACTAATTATTGTCGATTTACATTTTAAAAAAAATACGCTGAAATTATTGATATGCGGTGGTCGATTGAGTCATCTCCCGAATTATATCAATAAAGAACGAAACAGCCTCAATGTCTCGTGGAGATAAAACCATCCTTTCCTAAAACTGACCCCAGATTAAAGTGGGTTGAGCCTGAATGAGGGCAAATACAGGGCACTTTTTCAGGCTCCAATTTTTTATTCTGTACCTACAAGAAACAGACAAGTAAAATCGCCGCGCCGAAGGCAGTGTTTTACTGGTTGGGTAATGGAGCCATAGTAAAATGTACGTCACATTGCTCCAAAAATAAATAAATAAATAAATAAAATTCCTTTAATCTTTTTTTGCTCGCATTCGATGGTTTTTAAAGATGTACAAGTTCACATTTCCCGTAAATGCAGTTACACCACTGAAAAAAAAAAAAAAACTCGGTCCGTAAAAGCCGTACTTACGACCTATATAGGCATACTGTCCGTGCACCGGGCTCGGTGGCCGAACGTTTTGTGCGTAGCACCCGGAGCAATGTAAGTTACGGCTCCAGCACCCGTAATTTCCGGCCACTGAACCCGGAACGGACGGTATGGCTATATAGCTTTTTTTTCAGTGCCCCAGCCTTTAGTTGAGTTTAGCCTTTTTCTCTTTTCGAGGTTTTCCGCGGGGCGTTTCCCGGAGTTTTCCTGGCGTCACAGGTGGCTTGTCTAGACTCCAGAGTCGATTATTATAATATCGGAAAGGAAACTGAATGGGAGCGCGGATTGTGAATGACGACGTAGAGTTCAATCAAGATAAACAAAGCGAAGAAAATCTAACGCAACGGTTAGAGATGATTGATGACCCACGGTCGGGACCGCGATCTGATTCGGCCTCGTTTTCTTTGTTTTCGGCGCCTTCATTAGGCCTAAATGGACGTATCTCTGCCAAACGGAACCATGTGCATTGAGGCATGAGCCCTGCGACCCATAAGAATATATGCGTGACAGAGCTCACGTCATAATGCACATGGTTCCGTTTGGCAGAAATACGTCCAAATGGACCGCGAAGGGGGGTCGTGGGAAAGACGGGGGCCGGCAATCATCCGCTCATTTTGGAACATGATCGCGTGAATTATGCGCCAGACGCCGCACACCGGATCAAGTCAATAGGAGAAGTCGGACAACATTTGATAACTTTAAACACTTAAAACTCCATTTATACAAAACTTTGAGGTTCTGAAAGTGGTTCCATTGGTTTTCTCGTGAAATTTTCTTCGAAGAGCACCCCTTGAAATGTGAAGTTTAACGAAATAAACATGAAAATTTACAGTTTTAGTCAAAAATTTCATGTCCGACCTCTCTAATTGACTCGATGCACTGTGCGCCGGAGCGACTTGGACACGCGCGGACGCGATCGGATTGAGCATGCGCGTGTGGCTGTGCGCTCCACTAAAATAATAGAGCTGAGAAAATTGCTATTTTTCGGGACTATTCGATCAAATATCGGAATGGACCGCTGAACACGCCAAGTATTATACCTCCAAAAGACACGTTTCCCAGTCGCAATTTCATGTGAAATACGTCAAATACATTGACCATTTCTGGAATTAGCTCAAAGATAGCATACATTATTAAAAGAGCATATCAATGACCAAAAGTGAAACCACGTATGTACATTGTGATGTTTCAAAATCTCCGTTTGTACTGTATTTTTTAGAAAAGAGACAAGTCGATTACATAGTTTGATTTACGCAGAATATTTTGTTGGCAGAGAGGTCGAATCGAACGAGCATGTTTTCGAGAAATTACGTTGACTAGTTTTCCACAGTAAAATAACGTATGACAGGAACTCTGCAATGTCGCGAATGGAGATATGTGGTTTTGGACTTCGGTCTTCGATATGCTCTTTTCATAATGTATGCTTTACCTGCCGGGCCTGCTTCATCAAATTTTAGTAGAACTATGACAGTTGTATTTTGACTTTGATGGATAGATATTTCTCGACTAAAGTTTCAAAAAAAAAAAAACTTGAGTAGAAATGAATTTAGACTCAAAATTTGAGGTGCGCACGAACGATTCTTTTCAGTTACTTGAAAACGGAGAATAGATAGGTGTATTTTTGATCCCAAGCACACTGCTTTCTTCCCTATTTAAAAAGCTAAAGGACAAGTAAAAGTTGAGCAGCAAAAGACACGTAACTAATTGTAAGTTAGTCGCAGACGGATTTTTAAAGAAGTTTGCTCATAGTTGCAAGAATCTTTAACAACGTACATGTACCTCTTGAAACTGAAACATGAAACGTGTTTCGCCTTCATCTTTGCGGGTAGGCAAAACAGCTCTTACGCGTAAAAATAGTTGCATGGTGCGTATGGACCAGGAAGAGTGCCAGAATTTGGAATTGGTTGATTGCAATAGCTCGCAGCAATTATTTTAGGAGAATTAGTGAGCTCACTAACTATCGTTCAGTACGAGATAAAAAACTCCAACTATTTTTCAACTTTTTAAAGAAGATATCGTGAAATATAACGGAGGACAGCTCTAGGGAGTAGTATCTTATGCTCCATATCAGCTTGCGCCTAAACAAGAGGCTTTGAACTTAGAAATACTCGTATACAGCACTAACTCCAGCAATTTAACTACCTACTCGTAAGGGCAAAATATTACATTAACTTAGAAAGAAATAAAAACACATATAACAAAATCAACAGTGGTTAAAAGAATCGGCTGACCAATAGAGTCAAATTGACTTTTCAATTTGAATTCAGGCTTATTAAAATAATTTTTCTTGAGGAAGACAAGTGGAGATATGAGTTCGCAACTTCTTAGGTCTACATGTATTAGATCCACCAGTTTATAACCCATTAATGATCGTTAATTGACTATAAACAAAATTTTATGAGTCATACATCCGACCGATCAACATTTTTGAGAGATTTTATGACCGTGTGAAAAACCGTGGACTTGGAATGATGGACGACTAACATAGTGCAAGATTGTGCGTATTTTTGAAAAATTACAAAAAAACTTAAGAATATGAAAAAAATCTTCATAATCTACGAGTCAGTTTAGCGTCAGCAATGAACAGGAAGGAAAACTGACGACACCCAAAAACTGCGGTATTAAATGTTACATTCGACTTATACCCTTTTTGTTAACACATACGTTACGATGCCATTTTCTTAGGGTCTAAGATATAAAATTCAAACCTCCGTTTCAAGCGAGTTCAGAAAAGAGTGATAAGAATTATCATCGAAAATGGGTATCTCCTTCTTTTTACACCTTGGAAAAAGAAACAACATTCTCATCCTAGGCCAAAAATATTGCTTACATAAAACAGAAGCGTTGTGCGCCATCACGCTAACAAAATTAACCCTAGAGAGAATCCTAAAAGGTTAAACTCATTTTGTCGCTTTATAAACTTCATGCATTGAACAACTAAATTGCTCATGAAATATGAGCAACTTCTCATTGCCGATGAAAATTAGCGAATTGCAAAAATTAGTCAATGGAATATATTTACGTTATATTGCTACTGTTAAAGTCCTTTTTTACTTGTATTCGAAAGCTAAAAGTTCAATTCCCTCTTCACTTCATTACGAGTTTCGTTAAGCTTCGATTGTAGGATTACTTCGAGGTTCAACTGACGAGGTAGTTGATCGCGGAAAATTTCTCACCAATTTCCTTCACACAACAAACCTTTCCGAGAGCAGCACAAACAGAGGAAAAACTTGGATTAATGATCGAAAATACAAGATTCAGAACTAGAGACTAACGAAAAATGCAAGTGAACAAATGTCCGTTCATCTGTGCTATCGACGATTCCGATAGAATAACATTCGCGAAAGTCTCTCCTCTTTCGAAATCTGAGATCGTCGACGAGACGAAATGAGGCGAAAGCGCACGAACTTGCATTTCAACGTGCATGAGTGAATATACTAAAAATATTCTCGTGTAGCTGTTCCATGCTGGAGTTGCGAAAGTCAAATCAAAATTTAAATTGGATATGTCTAGACGGAACCGTGCTCGTGCTAAATGCAAATAAACTTATTTTGCGTTTGAATTCGTTCAAATAAGACTTAGTGATTGGAACTAATTTCGATACAAATTTTTTGACTGCGGAACTCCATAGCTTATGAATCCGGGAGAATTCCATCGCTAGGTGAAAGTGGAAAGCTGGAATTTACAGTAAACTGAGTGCTATCTACGGATGTAAAACTGGGCGTTTTTACTTATTATAATATCTGAAGGCGTATAAATTAATATATTTCGGACGAATTTGTTCTTTTCCACGACTCAATTTAATTACAACGGTCAAGCTCTGATCAAAAAGTAAATTATCCTATCAATCAAACAACTATGCGGGGCTTCAACGCGCAATCCCATCTACTAGAGACATATCCTGCGCATAAATGCTGCTCACCAGGAGCCGATGATAGGTAAAATGAAAGGATTAAGACAACTTATCAAGAGATGATAAAGATAAATGTACTCACTCTTCTTGAGATTTCGAGGGATGCGGCAAAAATTGGAAGAAAGGTCTCCGAAGCGATGATCCGATATGGTGAGATGATAAATTAGAGACCTTTATTGTAGTAAACTCTGCCAACGTTGGGATCGGTTCCTTCCTGAAACAGACATTATGGTTTGATCTGATACTAGTAGGTATTGACAGGCAATAGTGATCGCGAACATACACGGGTACTTTTGATTTTTTTAAAAAAGAAGTGAAAAAAATAAACAAACAAACAAAGAGGAAGAATAATTTGGTGAGATATAATTTTTTGAGTTATATGTTTTCTAGAATCCTGGCCTCTGTACCTACGATTTTCGATTACTTCACCAAAAACATGAATGCATCCAAATCGAAGAATCGTATCTCATTCATGTTGTCTGTCATTAACAAGCAATACTTGAAGTACAATTTATTTCGACAAATGTCAGTGGAAAATGAGAGGAGATAGCGATTTGACTGCCGTTAGTGCATCGCTTCCATAATTTTGTCGACATTCCGGCGTATTTCAAATTTAAATAGGTAATGTTATTTTTTTACGTAATATTCTGAAAGTACTCGGTGAGGTGATAACGTGGTGACCTATTGCGTACTATTTTGGACCTAAAATCCTGGAAAAGCCCGCTTTTGAAGTGGGAACGCGCGTAAATATAATGAATCTAAATAGTTCTTCGGTTTCGTTCGTTTCATAAAATTTTTCGTATCACGATGTAACGTGCGGTGTAGTCCGTTAAAAAGTTTTTAAGGACCTGAAGATGAGCTTGGCAAAGCTTGAAATGCGCATCGTCTGGACGCTTACATGCATACAAAAAGAGACCAGGAACAAGAAAAGGAAAACAGGTACATGTGTTTGAAATTGTTTCGAGTCTTTGGACTTTCTGAACGCGGGCTTTGCCAGAATTTTGCCTCCAAGATACGCAATAATCTATATTTATATCAATGGCTGGGGCATTACATGCCGCAGACCACATCATGATAAGAGTGTTCCTTATCATCCGTTATGCTTTAGTTAAATAATCTAGATATAAGTTAATTCGAGTCAATGGATACCGCTTCTTTGTATTGGTAGTATTGACATGTGATGTTTATCAATAAACTACTTAAAAAAAAAAAAAAAAAAAAAAAAAAAAAAAAAAAAAAAAAGATACGCAATAGATCACCATTTAATCTCCGCTCGCCGATTACTTTCAGAATATTAAATGAAAAATAAAAGGTTTAGTGACCCATTATATTACTCGGCCTGTACCGCCGAGTAGAATCAATTAAGTTTTGCTCTACCATGTCTGCCAACTTTTTAGCCCTTCAAAATGGAAAAATCTGACCTTTTTTTTTTCAAATTTGTTCAAAATTTTACGCTTAATCAGGTCCCAACATAGCTTTAGGCAGTTTTTGCCATTTAATATGAGAATTTTGGCCCTAAACAGCTGAAATGTCCTGTACCGTAGCCTGTCTGCGACTCAAGTGCGCAACTTTAACGCTTCATAACCATCATCTTGCATCTAAATACTTCCACTTCTGCTGTAAATTCACACTCAATTTGTACCTAACTTATTATTTTCAGTTATATTCATCCAAATAAGTGAAAATATTGACCGTCTTTGCGTCATGCAACCTTGTCTGCGGAATTCGCGTCCTGTACCGTAGCCCCCTTTTTTCAGCATCATTTCGTCCGTTACAGTGCAGCACTTATGAACTTTGTTTACTTTTTTTGTGTTATCGTGACTATCACACGCTGATGTTGAGCAGAGGAAAAAAAAACCGCAATGAAACAGTAAATTTTGACCGTTTTTTATGAGTTTCTAGGTTTAACGACCATCTAGGATGTCCTTACCGTATACCTACCTTTTTAATGCATAAATCACTTCAAACTCTCGAATTTTGGTATTTTTTGATACGCTCTGATATCTTAACCTCAAATCCAGAATTTCAACCACATGCGTGAATATGCCCGAGTACCGTTGCCAATAATCACACGATTTGTCCGCACCGTAGCCGTCCGTACCGTAGCCCGTAGCCGTCCGGTACCGTAGCCCGTAGCTGACGCGCGATGCGGCCGGGTCTACGGTAAGTACGGACAAAATGCGAAAGTCCTCCAAAAATCGGTGCGCTGTTTGATAGATCATCCCACTTTACTTTATTTTATCTATCACCAAAATTTGGAATTTAAAAAAAAAAAAGAGAGACGTATTTTTTTTTAGTACGACGCGACTTAGAAGAAGGAGGCTTTTTTTTCGATGATTGCATAAGGATCGCCATCTTTTTATTTTTTTCATTTTTCCTTTTAGAACTTTGAGTCCTCTTTTTCGTCTGAAGTTCATAGCAATTTATTCGTTTAATATTTATTCGTGAATATCTAACTTATTTTTTTCTTATTGTCCTTTAAATATTTATTTAAGGTGATTTGTGACCACATTTTCGATAAATTTACCTTTCTGTTTTCTTTCTTATTTTGTAAAAGTGCACCTGAAACGTTCTAACGTTGTCAAGCTTGTTTTAAGAACTCAGCTTCTAAGATTTGTCCCTAATTATTTAATGCGTTTACTTTAAAATAAAAGCAGTTCATTATTTTTGAAAAACTGATTTACTTACTCTTTTTACCTTTATTGCCCGTAATTATTTATAAAAGTGGCACTTATAAGCTATGCTATAACTTAGCAGTTTATTCCCCAATGAATTTCAGTTCTTTATAATTCGGCCCTTGCATACAGTAATATTTACGAATGCCTCTTCGTCCTTACCGCAGCCCGTTTGTCCGTACCGTAACGTTATTGTCCTGTACCGTAGACCAGTAAAAAATTGTACAATTTGTAGCTTTAAAAAGAGCAAACCTGTAGAAATTCTTTAAAAAAGTTGTCTACCACATCTCCTAAGTTAGTTCTAAAGAAATTAATTAAAATTAATCGTATAATTACATTTCCCGGTTTTTATGGGAGAAAAATGATGGCGCAAAATTCTATAAATCGGACTTTATAGCAATTTGGGTGCTAAATTTTGGAAGTAAAAACTTTGAAGGAAATTTTTTTTTATTCTTCTACAAGAATATATCTCATTGAGTGCAAAAAAACTTAAAACGGTATTATTATCGCACGTATTGATAGAAAAACAAGCCTGTTTAATTGGTCTACGGTACGGACAAAAAAACTTAACTTCCAGCGATAAAAGAGGCCAAAAAATTTTTTCTGTTGAAAAAGAAGATTGACCACTATTAAAATCGACTTTCCAAGAGTATGAGGACTTCAGAAAACATCCTGAAGTCTTGAAATAACTAAAGTCACTTTTTTACAAAACGATGGCTCCAAGAGCAAAACTTATTTGATTCTACTCCGCCGTGCTAAGGAAGAACGCCGCATGAACATTCGAGAGTTGCCACATTTCCTTCGATAAAATGTTTATTTTTGAGTAAAGATATGTCGACGGTGAAAGTCGGCAATCACATAACTCGTTTGCGGTGTCTGAAAATCTCCGCCTCTACGTCATTTTCTTAAAGGAGAACAAATTGACATTATTTCTTGAAGTTTTTGCAGAATTTTCTTCGCATGGAGAAGAAAAATCATGACAGTTTTAAAGAATTGCTGTTGAGTAGTTTTGCCATTTAAAAAATAAAGTATGACAGGAAGTCTACAACGTCGCAAACCGAGTTATGTGATTGCCGACTTGCACCGTCGATGTATATTTTCCCCTGAAGTGTTCAGGAACTTTAGATGAAACTGCGAAAAAAATTAACTGAAAAATTGGAAGGAAAATATTCAGAAGTTGACCAGGAAAATTGTGTTTTATCAAAGGAAATTTGACAAGGCCTGAAGGTTCATACGGCGTTGTTCCTTAGCACGGTAGCGTAGGTGTAGTAAAGATGCGCTCTGATAGGAAAAAATCATACTTTGAGGTGTGGCTCGAGTTGTTGGATGGGGACCCAGACTTTTTGTGAGAAGATTGCGCAGGCGAGTGGGGTTGCGAAGAGCAGGACGAAGCCCGTGAGGAGGATGCTGACAGGGCCCAGGAGAACGGGATTTTTCCTCAGGAACGGCCTCCGCTCCAGGCGATGCATCACCACCGGCGTCAGACCTATCACAGATCCCAACAGGAGCAGTTCATCAACATCAGGAATCAACAAACGGNTCTAATTTGGCTTAAAGTAGATAAAGCTACTAATTTTTTTATATCTTTTTTTTTATCAAAGTCGCTTTAATTTACAGAGCGAAACGCAACAAAAAGGGAAAGATGAAGAGAATGAGGAAGGTAAAGGACTTACTCATGCTAGGAAAAGCCATGACGATACGGCTGAAGACAACGGCAGCAATAGCGTTCTTGGCCGCAATTTTAGACTTCCCCAAGAGAGTATTGTTCTCTGTGTACACCGAGATCCCGTCTCGCAATTCGCTACAATACATACAATAAACGAGTCATTAACTACTGATTGTGAGTTGACAAATGGTGCGCGGGTGTAAGAAAAATAATTCATTCTAATGATAAGTGGACTTAACGTAAGAAAAGTTCAGCTACTTCTCAATGGCTTTGACAGATTCGTAAATATGACATACGGATGAAGTCGTGGATGAAAAAACGGGCCTGATAAGTTATTACGGCATTTTCTCCATTATTACCTTTTTTTTTGAACTGACACTTCTAACTGAACTTTTTGAAGAATTTTTATGAACCGTAAAGAAAGATAAAATGGACTTGAATAGTTAGAATCGGCTGAAAAAAATGTCTGGCGTTGCAAAGCCGATACGAAATTGTACGCTCAAGCCTTTGAAAGGATATTGTGGATATTAAGGATATATCGAAATTAACACGTACTGATATCTCATGATCGGAATGTTGACACAGTTGGCCGCCACGACGCCGAAGAAAGGCACAAATCTTGCAAGTAAAGATCTACCCTGAAAAAATACAAAAATGAAAATCATAACGTCTTGAGACACCAAGGAAAAATATAAAATCTGAATTGAGGAATAAAATAGAAAATATGAGGAGGACTAAAAGGACACTTGCAAAAACAAAATGAAAGACAACAAGGACTGTGCATTCAATGAAGAGTGTCTGCGCCTTCAATTTCATGTGACGCAACACAGCTCAGTTAGATGCCGATTTTCTCCTCTCCGCGAGCTCAGCATCTCGTACTTTTAAATTAAAGTTCTTTTTTTTTCTTCTACTTTTCTTGAAGTTCATATTATCATTATTATTTTAAATTTTCTGATAAGTTTACCCAATTTATTAGCCTCTGATATATAATTCGTTTGCGCGCGTTGCTCTTTTCCGCGCAATAATTTGACTCTTTCTGTGGAGCATCTTTGGTCAATATTAAGGCGTGGTTGCGAGAATTTTTTCCAAGAGAAGGGTCATGAAGAGCAAGCCAAAAAATTTTGCCTTTTTTCGGGAATGCCGAGTTTTTATCAGGATGAGGTTAGAATGAAACCTCATGATGAGAACGACCTCTATTGAAGTTTTCGTGCTCGAGTCAAATCCTGACTTTAACGATATGGCAATGCGAGGTAAACTATTATAGCACAAAGAGACATTTTTTTTTCGTACTAACCAATGTTGTGAACATAGCAATATGGTAACACCAAAACCAGTTGGGAAGCTTACGCTATACATTCTTCCAAAGACTAGCATTATCATCAGCTTCCAGTTCAGCCACAAGTCGAGGAAATTATTTGTATCAGGAAAGGACCCTAATTTTAGCAGAACCTTTCACGCTGGCGGTTGTGGGAAAAGCAGATTCAAAATGCTACGCTTTTTAAAGTGTTTCAAGCGTTCAAAATGTACTTTTGACTTCTTTTCAATTTAGAAACTTGCTTTCAGAGGAGGTAGGAAGGGGTAGGAAAGGAAAATCGTGGAGGATTGATCAAAGCGAGTAGGATTTAAAAGATTACCTGTATCAGCGACTTTGTACCTAGAGCTGTGACGACAGCACCAGTTGTTGCGCACGCATAAGCCACCCCAAGTTGTCTGGAACACATGCAGTACGTTTTGAAAAAATTCCAATTCATGTAAACCGTCGTTCCTCTGACGTAGGGGCTTATAGCCTGTGTCACACTATCAATACTCCATCATAATGTCGAGGTCAAGTGCTGTGATTGGTTCAAGTCATCGACTAAGCCAGTAACAACGCCTGACCTTGATATTTTGATGCTTAGTTTTGATAGTGTGACACAGGCTCATCTCGATTTCCACATGAGCCCCGGAAAGGATGGATTAATTTGTAAAACAGGTATCTCGTGGACATTTCGATACGCCCTCAACGTCAAAGGAACGTCTAAATGTGACCGTTCGTGGAAAAAGGGACCTTCGTCGACGCGAGAAGAATTTTCAATGGAGCTGTTTTTCATCTTAATATATACTCGTAGAATTTTCCTCTATGCCATCATCAATAACTTAATTTAAAGTTTTTGTGAGAAGGTCCTTTTTCCTATAGATGGTCAGTGGTCACTGATAAAGATGGTATAAAGCTGCAAAAATACGTTAATTTCAGTTGCGGTATTTCAATACCTCCATCTCCACTCCTATCATACTCTTTTAAAGGAGACCGAACGAATAGAATGACTTTAAACTTTCAGATAATCCTCTTTAGTTATTTTTTTTTCCAGTTTGAATTTGAGTGCCGAAAGTGCCCTAGTGCCCTACTTTCGTGCAAAGACGACATACGAATGAAATGAGTGACCCCTTTTGTCACCACAAGCTGAAAAAAGTGAAGGCGCTTCGGTTTTTTCAAAGGCTAGGTGTAGATGCAACTATTCGTGTCCTGTGGATGTCTGTGTTGCATAAACAAAAAATTGCAGGCGCTCTGATTTTTTAAGGCACAACGTTTACCTAACTGTTGGTTTCAAAGACAATGCAATTACAACCGTGTTTTCTATTGAATCCTCTAAGGTCGGATGAGTTATTGCGTAGCACTATGGGAGCGTTGCCAAATGGTGCAAATTTCTGCAAATCATTTGCCGAAAACATTTCCACAGGGGCATTGTGGATGTCAATCTTGCATATCACAACCAATGAAATTTCCTTACTTTGCGCTTCACGCTCAAGATTGTTTGTCATACGATTTTTTATTTCAGTAATTATCCCCCCCCTTTAATTAAATGTCACGAATTTTTGTGTTCGGAATATCTGAGAACTTGGAGAATTTTTAAATTCAGGAAAACTTTTCACCCTGCAAACAGCAATGACCAATGGCCACGATAGGTCGTAATTCTGCTCGTTTTTACCGATATTAGTCCGGAAAGATACACGATATGGCAACGCTGCCGCGTACGGAAGATAAGAATAATTAATAAACTACGATTTTTACCAGAAAAAGGTAAAGTGTATAATTGCCGATTGAGTCAGGTGGGTAATTGATGCGTGCATGATCTCCATTTAATTTACATATTTACAATTGAGTTACGTATTTTTTTTTTCTTATAATTTGATTAGGTACTCAAAACACTCCATCTTCGGGACTCTATCTCAAGCTCGACTCTCCATCAAGCTTTTTAAAGACATAATAGATGTCTAAAAGTGTACTTTGTACGTTTATTTTGTGCAAATAAAAAAAAATTCTTTGTGCGACGACGACGCATAAATGTATTAAGTGACACATTTTGTTATCATAAGCGGAAAAATTAAAGAGGCTCCGGCTTATTATTCGATAGCTAAGCATGCAACTATTCGTGTTCTCGAGATGTCCGGGATGCATACACTGACGATTGCAGGCGCTCTGGTCAAGATAAGCATAACTTGAGGCTGCCACGGTTAGTTCTTAGCGGATTCTGCGTCACACTCACAATCGTGTTTACGATGAAATCCTTTCAATTCGGACGAATCCTGTAGCAATTCGGCAGCCTTGTCAAATGGTGCAAATTTTCCACCAAAAAATTTTCACAAAAGCATCGTGGATGTCAATATCGCAAATTACTGCCTACACTGTTTCCGCAATTTGAACTGAACCGGAAAAAGACTACGATACTTTCGGAGGAGTCGGTATACCGACGCAAAAAATTGAAAAAGAATTAAGTATTGAAAAAAAAAACAGTGACTGGGTTTTTTCATCTGTCCTGAAAATATCGGTAATTTTTTGGTAGCAGTCTCGCCTGAATTTGAAGATCACGAATGCCGTTATCGGACACAGGTTTCGCCCCCCCCCCCCCCCCNTTTGGTTTCAATCTGAAAGAGAGAAGACTCGGTCAAAAGAGGTATTAATTTTTATTTCGCGGGCGTAAATATTACAAATGATTTGGTACTTACGTTTGGGTAACGTTAGCAGCGCCACTTCTATTGGAATAGTTCACGACAGCGTTGAAAGACTGGTTTACCCACTGCCAGAATACAACAGCAGGGTTAGTCCTGAAAATGAAAGAAAAATTATCGTGGAAATTGCATCATGACATCATAAGAATGGCAAAACAATTTAGGACGACTATTATTCCACTAAACGCGGTACAACTGACATTTAGATGACAACTTTTCGGCGGGGGGCAGCGCGCGCAAAACAATTTAGGACGACTATTATTCCACTAAACGCGGTACAACTGACATTTAGATGACAACTTTTCGGCGGGGGGCAGCGCGCGCTCTCCCTATTTGACGCCTCTGTAGAGTACTCGAGAGGAATGAAAGGAGTAGTGCTTACCGGTAAAATGTCATCATGCATCCGGTGATGAGCATATTCATGGGGACTTGCGCCGACATTCGACCTATCGGTGTGATTTTCTGACCTGTCTCCGGATGGAATGCCGAATCATAAATGTCTTTGAGCCTGTAAAGTTGCTCAACGCTCACTCCGGCCGGAAGCTCTCGGGTTTTCCTGTCAAAAAAATAAAAATTGAACCGATTATTTACTGAATCACGTAAGCGCCAATATCTACTTTCGTGGTAGAGGGGTTGTTTTTTCTTTGTTTTCTTTCCTATAATCAATCATGTCTGAATTCAAAGTACCAATTTTTTAAGGGGGTCTAGCACAGCGTTACAGAGCGTTACGGGTGGGGGTGGGGGGGGGGTGAACGGTATAAAAAAGCTGCAAATTTAGTGTTAAGTAAAATAGGGACGGCCTTAATGTCTTAGGATCTTGTCTTGATGGTTGAATGCTAAGAGAACATGCTACATGCTAACATGAAGCATAGCAACGACAGATTACTTTGGTATGTAAATTTTGACTTCAAATATTAAGGAAAACATTGCTCTTTGAAAAACCCGCACAACGGGGATGAAAATGCACATTACCTGTAGGTATCGATGACGCTTTTGGCTTCATCGAGAGATTTGGAGGAGTAGAAAATGTTGCGAGGGTTGACGGTGGCGAAGTAGAACTTGGCCCTCCCGATGTAGGTGTTTTGGTCCCAACGCGGCTCATCTATATTAATTGGGCGTAGTTCCTTTGATGACATAATTAGGTCCAGAGCTTGCGTTAGGATACTTTTTCCCAAGCCTGTCAACACTAAAATCAAGTCTGACGGAATCAACATGAAAAAGTGACGCGAGTCAAATTACAAAAAAATTTAGGTTGAAATGATTGTTTTTGAGATGCCTTACTGATATCTTTCCGTCCATCAGAGGCACCAACCGTATACTGCCGTGCAAGGAAAAACGCCGTATGAACCTTCAGGCGTTGCCAAATTTCCTTAAATAAAGCACGAATTTTCTAGTAAAAGAATGAATATTTTCCATCCAATTTTTCAGATAATTTTGTTCGCAATTTCACCTGAAGCGACTGAAAGTTTCAAGGAAAATAAACATTTTATCGAAGTAAATTTGGTAACTCTCGAATGTTCATACGGTGTTCTTCCTTAGCACGGCAGTAATAGATAGAAGCGTCTAGAGCGCCTCTCCTCTCCACCCCCGTATGTAATCTGAAGCATGAAAAATCATTGAATGAATGGTTCAACGCAATGGACCACTAGACGAAGGTACGAAGTTAAGCGTTCTGACACACATGTTTCCAGACCAAAATTTTACGTAAAACACGATTCGCACGACGAAAATTACTGACACAAACTCCTTACCAAGATATTGAATGTTTTTTGACGAGTGAATTCAAACCTCCCGCTCATGAAAACTCAATGGTCTACATGAGTCAAATCGCTCACTGAAAGTTATCGTGGCAGTCGCCACGATAGCTGTAGCAAATAGTTCACCCTTTGAACAATAAACGGTTGGAAAGGAACAATGCTCGATTGAGGATGCCCGCCGAAACCGTTGTAAGGCGTGATTTGACTCGCATAGAGTGTTGCGTTTCTTACGACAGGGAAACTCAAATCTCCCGTGACCAACAATGTAGAATAAAAACGTTAATATCTTAATTAGGAGTTAATTTCAGCAATTTTAGATGTTAGAATCGTGCTCTACGTGAAATTCTGGTTGAGAAACATGTATCAGAATGCTTCAATTCGTACCTTGTCGAGGGGTCCATTTGAAACCCCTAGACACGTACGGCAAGAGAATCCTCATGTCCTTTCTTAGGAACAGTCTACCTATAAATTACATCAAGCTCTAAGTTCGGAATTTTTAACCCCTTTCCTTTTCGTTATACAGGTCTGCGATCCCCAGACGAAATGCTCCGCGATTCGAGAGTCCACGTTTTGCGTAAAACTCAGCATTTTAAACAGATATTTTTGCTGAAAGTGTCGAAGAGTTTACATCACGCAATCATCTAATGTTGAGCCCCTGCGGGCAGATCATTGAAATTGATAGACAAAGCTATAGACAAAGAAGACACAGGGAGTATGGAGCAATCCTATTGGTCAAAATGGGTGGTTCCTATAGACTAAGGGCGAAATTAATGGACTAACTATAGGGTTTCTCGTAAGTCGCCTTTAGTTAGTCTATTACCTACCTCCTTAGTCCATTGCAACAACCCGCCTACTCTCATAGGATCCCTTCAAATCCCTTTCATCTTCTTGGTCTATCAATTTCCATAATCGGCCCACTGCTCTCTCCCCTCGTAACGCTGAACTAGCCCCCCTCCTTCGATGTAATCCACGAACGATCTCATCGCTCGGTGCTGGATTTCCGCGTTATCTAGGCGATGGTCCAATTATTCTTAATTGAGACTCATCAAAAAAGGTTGTCGATGATTTTCGCGTCAAACACAGGGGCGAATTTAACGATTTACCGCTTGATTTTCTGCAGGACCGACTTTCCGCACCAGCGGTTGACGCGCATTATTAATTTGCCGTCTTTTTTCAAGGTTGAAATTACTTTATTCTCATTACTCGTGAGGTCACTTATTAGCTGCGTTTGACAAGATCGAAATTGCTCCTTGAGCTAGTTAATTTTTACGATGGGATCGACTTCAGGAGCTTTTCGTCATAAGGGGCACATTATTCCTACAATGACTCCAGCCCCCCTCCCTCCTCCGAATCTATTAAGTGTTAAACAAAAAACGCTTTACATGTAGAAGATGAGCCTTGGTCCAGCCAGTCACGCCTAATACCATCCACGATTTTCACTCTATTTTAAAAAAGGGTAGAGTGATGGTTACCTTTTGTAAATGGATTAACACTAACATTTTACATCATTCAGTTTAGTCAGTAAAAACGGTGATCAATTTACTATATCGCGGCCCAATGGTCATAATCGACGTAAGAAAACGACTATTCAAGAGAGATACTCAGGAGCTGTTCCTAACCTAAAAGGCGTAAAAAGGTAACTCTAAAGTCACACTTACCATTCGTAAAAAAGTCAACCTCGTGGAAAGTCTCATATGATCATGTGGCGCGAAAGCAACATGGACAGGATTCAAAAGCGCTAATTGCGTGTAAACTTTTTCGAGTGATGAGAAAACTGGGAATTGGCCGCCGAAGAAATTGGTGATAACAACTGATAGCGGAGTGCGGAGTGGATAAGGACCCACGCCGTGGCTTTGGGAGCTTTGGCGGGAGCGAGGGGCGGGGAATCAATAGAGCCGTTGCGTCGTCATGGTTACCATTTTGAAAGCGCGCCTTCGCAAAATTCTCCGCCCTTCCTGTCGCCTTTTCCAGTGATTAACGATAAGCAATCATAGATCGAACATTTTTCGCCTTAAGCGGTTCCACTGGATGTCTGTCCTACTGGGCTAAGCAGAAACGTCCCATGAGCATTCAAATGTTACAAAATTTCTTTCGATAAAACATTAATTTTTCGAAAATTATACGTGATTTCTCGGATAGGAGGAGGTAGGGTCGGATTCAGGGGGTGGTCACATGGGCCGCGGCCCATGGCGGCAAATTTAAGGGGCGGCAAATGTTGAATTGGTTTTAAATGTAGGTATAAAAAAAAACCGGATTCAGAAAAAAAATTACAAACGAGGAAAGGCGACAAAATTTCTCATTTCCTGAGAGTATAGTAAGTTTTAATTTTGACGTCTTTCGGTAATATAAGAGGCAGCACCTTTAATTAGTCCAGTTAAGAGAGAAACCAAACAACTAATTTGGTCTGGAACGGCACGGCGCAAAGAGCAATGATGACGGGAACTTGAAATGAAAAGGAGAAGCCCTCGGCGCGGCGATCGGCATGTAACACATATTAGCGCCTACACGACTGCATGAATACTTCACGCATTACGTGATCAGACACAGTACGGTCAGCAGCGGTCGGCGTGAAACGCATAGCGCCTACAAGACTGCATGAATACTTCACGCATTGCGCCAAATACAGTGCGGTCAGAGCGGCGCGGCGGCGGAAGTTAAAATTATTAAACCACATTTATGTTTGTTCTTTCATAATTTTTTCGTTCAATACTTATAAATGGAAGGCCTTGTCCACACAGAGGTAGGTTTACGGAACTTAACTTTCGCGTAAAGTTTCGTGAACTTTTGCTAGCAGTTTTGACAGGACTTTCGCAAAAAATGTGTTCAACACGAGTAAACGCGTCTTATGCACCCCTCCCCCTCCGGCACGTTCACTTGATGGTTTAACTGATGTTTCAGAACGAATGAGAAGAGGGCGGCAAAATATAGGCGGCCCATGGGCGGCAAGTAGGTAAATCCGGCCCTGGGAGGAGGAAGGATATCGATTAGGGCCGTTGTAGGGCCCACCCTGAAATTCCTCAACTTGACGATTTTTTGCTCATTGAAGGTCTGTATTTTACGGAATGCATCAAGATTTGGTCATTTTCGGTCTCTTTCTCTCTGAGTCAAATACTGACCTAAACACGGGTCTGAAGGCTGATTTTGGCGAACAATCCGATGATGCCAATTAAAATTGACCAAAGTGACTCTCGCACACCCCAAATGAACATACTTGTAGGCTTTTTGCTCCTCTGATGGGATCGTTGTGAAACAGCGCGTCAAATGCCGAAAAACCCGAAGTTTTCGTCAAAATCAGCTTCAGACCCATGTTTAGGTCAGGATTAGACTTTTTGAGTGTACTGGATGTAAAGTGCTGGATAATTCAAAGGAAAATATTCGCAAGTTTGCTAAAAAGTATTCTATTGAAACATATTGGCAACATTTGAATGTCCATGCAATTTTCTTCAGCACGGCAGTTGGAACTTAGTTGTTTAGACGCCGCTGCATGGGACAAAATTTGAAATGAAAACCTTAATCTGGTTACTAAGATTTTCCTGGCTTAGTAAGTTGAAAATGAGCGTCTGAGCCTGAGGCAGTAACCGCGTATGACCGATAAAAAAAATAAGAAGAATTCGTATTCATCTTTCCTCTCATGAATTTTTAGGTCGTGATTTGATATTTTATTATTTCCCCCTATTTCTCGTGCGTAAAATGAGTCCCTTAAGTGATTTTTCTCGCGGCCAATTTTAAGAGTCTCCACGAGTACCTCTAACGCCTGGTTCTAAAAAAAATCGGATGAGGATGCATTTTATACTTTTGTGGTTAAAAATCACTGCGCGACAACTTTAAATTTTTGCAGTCCTGTTTTCTCTCTCTTTCTTTCAACCCTCTACTTGAGAAACTTCTCAAACCCAAGGTTGCCACATGCCAGGGAATACCGGAAAATGCCAGGGAACTTTACAAAGTCCGGGAAAAATTGTCAAGTCACCTTGTTAATTTCCTTTCTAGAATGGGTTTGACGTTTCGAACGATAAATTTTGCCTGAAAACAATTTCCAATTATTTATTTTTAAGTTTCTGGCATATCCTCAATAGTCGGGGAATTTTACCAAAATGTGACCGAGATATCGGGGAAATGTCAGGGAATTTCAATTTTTAAATTCTGTAGCAACCCTTCAAACCTCGCTCGCTAGCCACAGCCACATCCCATAGAGTCGATAACGAAAGTCGGAAAAAGCGAAATTACGCTTCAGCCATTGCAGGTTCCTGCTCATGTTCATTGTTCATGCTTCAGGTGTTTTTAGAGAAATAACTCACAGTTGTCATTGTTTACTCTAAATTTTACTCACAGTTTCAAAAATATTCACCGAAAATTTCGAGGAAATACTTCGATTGGCTCTCTTTTTAAAAAATGAAACATAATCGAAGATTTTAAATGTTGCAACGAAGATACTCGTTTTTCGACGTTAACTATCGATGTAACTGATAAGAGCTTGTCGCGCCCGGACCCGAGCGGAGTCTTCTTCCAGTTCCCCTTCAAATTGAAGGAATACCTATTCAAATACGGCCGTGAATAAGTTGCATACCTGACGTTTCGCAGGCTATTCCTGCGACGTCCTGGACGGACGAGAAATAACCGTGTTGTGTTTAGGTTACAGTTACAAGGCTGACAATAAGTTTGATGCTTTTGATGGGTGCATAGAGTAAGTAAGGTAACTAGTTACTATGCGGATTTCTTTTTTTCAAACGATGAACTCGATAAGAAAAATTTATATGCTAGCATGAGAATCTAAATTAAACTACTTGGTGTTCTCTATCTGCCTCCCTTCATTTTGTGGTAAATTAGTTTTGATAATTTCATACTTTGTATCATCACAATTACAATATACAATTGCGTAAGCCCGAGCCCTCTGGTGAAAATTTAGGGGGAAGCGCCGGGCCGATCCGGGCACATGTCGTAGCGGCTGGACTGTTCCTGGGTCCCCCGATGGGGGAGGGGGGGATAGAGGGATCCGGCGGCGGGCGGCGCGCCCCTTCCTTAATTTAAATGTGATCCACTTTACTTTTTAAACAAATAATTGAGAATGAATTATATATAATAATAGACTTGATTGGAAATCGCCGTGGGTCGAGGATTCACTGTGGAAGCGTGCATCGTCCTTATCCCGCAACTTTCGTCTTCTCAATCATGGAGATGCCGTGTGTAAAGCGTGGACGTCCGGCAATACGTTGGCGTTCGGGAAGGCGTGGGCATTTTTTCGCGAGCCCTCCGTGCGGCGCGGCGCATCGAACGACGTCCCGTCGATGCCAGTGAAATGGAAATGCGACTCAAGCGTGAGTTGGGAAATAATCCGTAGGTGTAGCTGAGTTTCCCGCAAACCTAGGACTACGAATCATTCATTATTCTTGTCTCTTTGCCCGTTTTTCACGGTAATTCAAAGGAAAATATTACAACAATTCAGAAACTCGGACCATATGGTAACTTTCTCATGAATTAAAAAAAAATGGATCAGAACAAACGAAAATATCGCGTCGAAATTTTCTTCGAAATCATTTAGGAAAATTCGCGGTAACACCTGATCCAAATTGTGTGTCGTTGTGTAGTTTTTTTTTTCTTGAAAAAAACTTTGATTACAAGAAAATATAGATTGAACAAAAATATCGCGTTGAGAAAACGCGGAAACGCGTGGAAAATTCCTGGAAACGCTTCAGAAAAACGGTGTGTATAGTTTCTTAGAAAACGCTGATGTAAAATAAAACATGTGAGGTGGCGTGTAACGTTGGACTTAAAGACATTTACGCTTTTTTTCCGGCGTGCAGCCGCGTGGCGTCGATGTTTGAATTCATTCACAGCAGGCGTAACGAGATAACTATTCGACCACGGGTGAAGGCACATTGCCGCTAGCTGCATTGGAGGCGCGTCACACTGCCAAGATGACTCCACCGCGATTCCTTCCCTGGCTCGAGCGACGCGTTAAAGTCGCCGCAAAACTAGGACTAAGCGTCATTCTTTGCTCCGTTTTTACAATAATCAAAGGGGTAGTTAGTAGTAAAATAATTTTATTTTAAAGCGGTGCTTTAGCATCTAAGGCCATTTACACCTCTAAAGAGGGCAGTAACAATAATAAATTTACATGGAAATATCAGTAAAAATACAAAAGGGTTGAGGGGAAAGGTTAAATTTTGAGATTAGTGGAGCGCATAAATTCAAAAAGTTTCACAGGATGAGTATTCAGAAGTAAATTTTTAAGAGAGGGTAAGGGGTAGGGAAAAAAACGTTTTCGGATATCTTTATAAAGTGGGCAACTTATAAGAACGTGATCNACCTATTCAAATACGGCCGTGAATAAGTTGCATACCTAACGTTTCGCAGGCTGTTCCTGCGACGTCCTGGACGGACGAGAAATAACCGTGTTGTGTTTAAGTTACAAGGCTGACAATAAGTTTGATCCTTTTGATGGGTGCATAGAGTAAGTAAGGTAACTAGTTACTATGCGGATTTTCTTTTTTTCCAAACGATGAACTCGATAAGAAAAATTTATACGCTGGCATGAGAATCTAAATTAAACTACTTGGTGTTCTCTATTTGTCCTCCCTTCATTTTGTGGTAAATTAGTTTTGATAATTTCATACTTTATATCATCACAATTACAATATACAATTGCGTAAGCCCGAGCCCTCTGGTGGAAATTTAGGGGGAAGCGCCGGGCCGATCTGGGCACATGTCGTAGCGGCTGGACTGTTCCTGGGTCCCCCGATGGGGGGAGGGGGGGATAGAGGGATCCGGCGGGGGCTGCGGGCCCCTTCCTTAATTTAAATGTGATCCACTTTACTTTTTAAACAAATAATTGAGAATGAATTATATATAATAATAGACTTGATTGAAAATCGCCGTGGGTCGAGGATTCACTGTGGAAGCGTGCATCGTCCTTATCCCGCAACTTTAGTCTTCTCAATCATGGAGATGCCGTGTGTAAAGCGTGCACGTCCGGCAATACGTGGGCGTCCGGCAAGGCGTGGGCATTTTTTCGCGAGCCTAGAGTCCCTTTATACCCAGAGTTAAGACAACTCACTTTTGGTTGGGCCAGGGTTGGGCTGAAAGTGGCCTAAAAAAAAATCCAATTCTGATTGGTTCTCGCTCATGGAGGCCGAAACGAGTGCACCAAGATGGCGGTACCTCGAATGTGAACAAGAACAATGAAAATATTACCTAATTGTGGTTTATCAAGAGTAAATTGTTATTGCCATCGGTGCATCGGTCCAAAATGAATATACATTAAGAAATTATTCACAAACCAATCTCATTTTTTTTTAATTGATCAATTTGTTGATGTTGTTTTTGTGTGACAGACATCGCAGGATTCCTGATCCTTATCCCTCAATATCGTTCGTTTGGGTGCACTCGTTTCGGCCTCCATGGCCAGCCAAGGCCGGCTGCCAGTCGGCTGATAATCGAGTTGTCTTAACTCTGGGTATAAAGGGACCCTACGCGAGCCCTCCGTGCGGCGCATCGAACGACGTCCCGTCGATGCCAGTGAAATGGAAATGCGACTCAAGCGTGAGTTGGGAAATAATCCGTAGGTGTAGCTGAGTTTCCCGCAAACCTAGGACTACGAATCATTCATTATTCTTGTCTCTTTGCCCGTTTTTCACGGTAATTCAAAGGAAAATATTACAACAATTCAGAAACTCGGACCATATGTTAGGTAACTTTCTCATGAATTAAAAAAAAAAAAATGGATCAGAACAAACGAAAATATCGCGTCGAAATTTTCTTCGAAATCGTTTAGGAAAATTCGTGGTAACACCTGATCCAAATTGTGTGTCGTTGTGTAGTTTTTTTTTTTCTTGAAAAAAACTTTGATTACAAGAAAATATAGATTGAACAAAAATATCGCGTTGAGAAAACGCGAAAACGCGTGAAAAATTCCTGGAAACGCTTCAGAAAAACGGTGTGTATAGTTTCTTAGAAAACACTGATGTAAAATAAAACATGTGAGGTGGCGTGTAACGTTGGACTTCAAGACATTTACGCTTTTTTCCCGGCGTGCAGCCGTGTGGCGTCGATGTTTGAATTCATTCACAGCAGGCGTAACGAGATAACTATTCGACCACGGGTGAAGGCACATTGCCGCTAGCTGCATTGAAGGCGCGTCACACTGCCAAGATGACTCCACCGCGATCCCTTCCCTGGCTCGAGCGACGCGTTAAAGTCGCCGCAAAACTAGAACTAAGCGTCATTCTTTGCTCCGTTTTTACAATAATCAAAGGGGAAACGTCAAAACAATTCAGGAACTCAGACAATGTAAAATTTGATTTAAAAAAAAAGAAAGAAAGAAAGAAAGAATGAAAAAAAAAAAAGGTCAGAACGAACGAAAAATCGCGTCGAAATCTTCTTCGAATTATTTGAGATCATTTTGGAAAATTCGAGGAAACTTCCAAAAAACTGTGTGTACCTTTTTAAAAGCGTCGATCGAAAATAAAAAAGTTTTTACAGTTCAGTTCAGGTTTATCAGTTTTCAGTTTCTCTGAGTGGTTGGCGGGCGCAAGACCCTGGTTACACGTATATTTCAGTTTCGACGAAGAGAATCCCTTCCCTTCATTTTTATAATTCTGTGTGAAAAAAACATATGCTGCTTCCTCTTTCTCTCACTGCTTACTAACCATTCATTCTAATGATCTACGATTGGAAACAAAATTTATGCAAGACGAGTGTTTGATTTCAAATTTTTTCTTTGAATTATTCAGACTTTTATGTTTACTTAATCAAATCATGAAAAAATCTTGGGTAAATTTTGAAGCAACTAAAAATTGTATTTAAGGCTCAAAATAATCATCAATGGCCTTATTTCAATCAGACGACCTCAAAATGATGTAACTTGACTGGCAACGCTGCAAATTTCTGTCTGGTTTTTGATCTTCATGAGAAAAGAAATCTAATATGATCCATTGTTTTGTTCCATCAGTATTTCCTCGGAATAGTTAGGGCACATATTTCTTAAGGATTTCCTTTGGAAAAATGAAACATAGTTCAAGATGTTGAAAAGGCAACTTTAAGATACAAGTTGGTAGATTTTCCCACATGCTGTTGTCATGAGGGAGAATTTTTTTTTTTTTTTGTGTGCTTAAAACCCAGAAATGTGGGGGCAGGTGCAAGTCATCTCCTGACTAGCAAGGAAAGAACAGCTCTTGTCGGAAACCCATGTGGTGTTGCTACATATATCATCAATACTTAATATTAACGACTTTGAAATATGAAAAGTTATTTAATTTTATCATTGTGGATGCCATTCATGTAGATGAATCCCAAAATTTAAATAAAATAAATTCGTTATTGAAAACTTAAGAAAAAATTATTTATTAAAAACAACCAACTTATAAATTACTATCCTGCCAAAGAAATCAGTACTTTTATTAAAGACAATTTTAAGAGAATTGCAGCTGGTTGGTTTTGATAAATTGAAAGTTTGAATGGTATTTACATCTTCAGGGTAAAACGGCTCTCTCAGTGACACAACTTGTCCTGAACTGAGCTCAAAATTGCATTCATTTCCAACAAATCCACCTTGAAATTGAATTTGAAGATGGGTAACTGTTTCTTCCTTTTCAAAGTCAAGCTGTATCCATTGTGGTAAACCCTGGGAACAAAAAAGGAGAGATAAGTTATTCAATTTAACAAAAGATAGGGGAAAAAGTTCAAAGACAATTCTTCTAATTAATCCGGAGCTAAGAAAATGTAAAGGTGTGTAAATTTAAAGTTACAGCTGCCATGAATCATTTTTTCTTTTTTTTTTCCAACTGCCCCGTTAGGCTGTAAATTTATTCATTTACTTTTCTGCGACACAAAGCAAAAACCGAAATTTTGCATTTTACTTGTAAGTAAGCCTCCACTGGACAGTCCACTTGTTACTGAGCAGCTAATAGCAACTTGGGAGCTGATAGGTCTGTTTTGGGGAATTGCACAATGTGCAGACATCCTAGCACCATGAAATTCTCACACCTAGATCCAATGGGCAGATGGTCCAGACTTTAAATGACATGAGGCTAAGCTGTCTAACAGAAATTTGGGACTCTGACATTCATCTCCTTTTGCCGGTTTTGACAATATTAATGCTGGATTAATCAAGGAATGATGAGGCTGCGATTTCACAGGCAGAAAAAGAAAGCAATTTAACTAAGTATTCGAAAATCGATCAAATGTAGGTGATCCTTGAAACTTTACTGCAATGAAGTGGCAATACTATTGGTACTTTTTTATGAAAGATTGAAACCTTTCCATTGAAAAATATGTCAGAGGTAGATTTTTGATAGATTTGCCTCCAAAAATAATCAAATGTGTGTTTTTAGGGGCTTTTCCTGTGTTAGAGAAACCTGTGGCTAAATGTAAAATCTCCTGCAGTGATGTTAGAGGACAAGGGCAATAATACATTTTGTTACTTAACCCTCTATGGCATTGCGTTGCGAATTCATAACAACATATTTTATTGGGTTTTTAAAAATTCAATCTTTCCTCTGTGGCATGATTTGGCAAATTTTTATTAGTTTTTTCCTTTTTGGAATAACAGCTTCCCAACAATTTAAAATTTTGAAAAAGAATTCGGTACCCAATGTTTTTTATGCATGCTACATAATGGATTAGTGTCCTCCAGGATATGAGATCCAAAATTAATTCATGCCATAGAGGGTTAAATGGTACAGTATTAGATTTTGATCCAGGCTTTCTTGGGTAGGTGCGTACATATGAATATTCAAATGTTACCTGATCGGAGTTCCAGCAGGTTTCTTCATTATTATCAAACATGAATTGTTTTCCGAATTGTTTAACATCCTTATTCAAAACTGAGCTAACTCTGTAACAAAAAGAAAAGTTTGATGAGTTACAGAGGAATATGAGACTAATAATAATCAGGTAAATAAGTAATAAATTAAAAATCATGAAACTTTCAGGTGAACTTCATCTTTCTTCCAAAACGCATAAACTTTTTTTCAATAGTTACAAAGTTTATTAGATGTAGACCGAAAAGAAGGAACTTGCAATAATACTTCAAAAAATTAAACAACTCCACCACAATGAGGGGCTAGAGCTGCATCAATTGCCACAGAGAGCTTCATGAAAAAATTCTGAAGATTTACTCTTTGAAAGCATTTCAAAGTTTAAGAACCAGAAATCACAAAATTGTGATGAATGCATTTACAGCTTCAAGACATATTAAAAAAGTTTTGTCTGCATCAAAAGTGCACTTAAAAATATATATTATCAGAACATTTATTAAAAATAAAAATATTCATGATTTTTCAAAGATTTGCCTCAATGTAATGGCAATCAGCAAAAACGCTAGGTTTTCCCACAACAGGATCAGCATTACACAGGTTAAGACGCAACCTATTTCAAACACTTACTCGATTCTTTAAGTTGCAACTTATGACTCGAAATTCCACCCTTACTTCTTAATAGTATTAGAATGCAATGCTCTTACTATGTGATTCTGCCAAATTCTTATTTTAATCTCAGACCCATAAAAAAAAATCGAATGGAATTTAGTATAAGACCCATTTGAAAACCTACAGTTAAAGGGGTTGTTGTTGGAGTGAACTTATATGATACCATATGGTTCTTCTGTTTACTAAAGGCAACTCCACAGACCCATCAACCTCCCGAGATCATTTAGTGTTTGACTGAAACGATCGGCATTCTTATGAAAACAAACAAGTCATGGGGTAACTCAGGCAGAGTTTTACAACATGGACCGTTGGGCATTGGATAATTCAATTTCCAAGCAGTCCCAAACAGTTCACTTGAAGGGGACAGCAACCTTAAAAACAAGTTTGGCTACATCGACGAAGAAAAGTGTGCAATGAACGATGCCAAATCCATTTGCGAATATCTGCATACATTGAGCCCCTATAGCAAAAAACAGTTGAGCGCCTGTCATCAAGAGCTTCGTCTTGCATTCCGCAATCTGCACTCGGCATTCTGTCTCCGGTGTCAAGTGGCAGAGCGTGTTCGCCCCAATCTCGTTTATTCCTAGCCGACTCTCTTTTCTTTGCTTAGGTGTGACTATTACCGCTTGTAATTTTTTTTTTTTTTTTTCACTTAATGAATGATTTACTGTCTCAGCGTGAACCGCAGTCTCACTGGGAGCGCATAACGTCACCAGTCAGACTTTCAATCTTTCATATCTCTGCCGATTTTGCAAATTTTTCCTTCGGGAAAGAGCCATTTGATTCTTATACCTTGCCGCTTCAATTTTTAATGCTACCTCATTTCTGATTTTAAGATTGCCGTCCTCGTTCATAACACCTGACAGGACATAGCTATAGGATAGGTCATACACTTGACTTTCAACAGAGAGTCGGACAGCAAAAGCTAGAAGGTGCTAGAGTTCGCGCATCAAATGTTGAGACATACATTCAAGTTTTGTTTTAGAAACCACTCATCAGTGGTACCATTTGACTGTATGTATTAACCTGTTGAGTGGTGCTAATTCAGAGCTAATCAGAGATTGACGTTTGTCTCAACATTCAATGCGGGAGCTCTAATTTCGACTGAAATCAAATCAAACCTTTGAGGTATAGCTTATATGGAAGTTAAATATCGACGGTGAAACTACCAAACCACGTATCTCGGTTTGCAACGTCGCAGACTTCCTGTCATGAATCATTTTTTAAATGAAAAACTACTTAATGTCCAGTCTTGAAAATTTCTGTGATTTTTCCTCTTCGTGCGGAGAAAATTCTGTGAAAATTTCAAGGAATGATAATGATGTGGACTACTTCAAAAAAATAAAATGCGAGCGTAGATTTTTAAACACCGCCAACGAGATACGTGGTTAGGTAGTTTCACCGTCGATATGCATGCTCTACATTAGAATACATTTAAATGAGCTTTTGAAGCAACGGTACATTGCAATGCTAAAATCCGAGAAGTAAGAGTAGGAAACAAGGTTAAGATTGCTCAACATACATGTTTCTTTAGATGCAAATGGATTGAGCTTCTTGATCCATGTTGAAGGAGTTCCTGTTTCGGAAACTGCATCTGCTGAAGGTGGATTTTTCAGCTCCTCTAACAATTCTTGGCGATATAAAAGCTTCAGTGGTTTTGGTGCATTGGCCACTCTCTGCAGTTCATTATATTTTTTTAATGCTTCAAATGGACTTAGCCCATACCACTCAATCTCCTCATGTGTGTATGCATCAAGATAATGTTTATACTTGTTGTATACTTCAGCTTGCTTTTCTGGGTCGTCGGGGTACAATGTTTTGTCTCGTAAGGCGATTAACATTTTCCTCTTCAGGAGCACAGCCAGTTTGGAACGTAGGTCATTAGCAGGCGTCTTCAGCAAATAATGATCAAGGCCAAAGTTTTCGATAACTAAAACCCTGGCCCTTTTGGTTGCAATTGTTGACATGTGTTTGTTCAGAATTTCACTGTAAAAAATGGTCTCCACCAAGGTAGGAACCCAAAAATGCGGCACTCGTTTCCTTAATTCTTGCCTTTTCTGGAATCCTTTAACGATTGTTTCATTACCCCAGAGACCTTGATCTGCTTCACGAGGTCTCAGTCCAAAAATGGGCCAGTTGCTGAATCTTTTCACCTGCCCAGTTTCTTCGTCACGGTACCATGTTCGGTCATCTTTCACAAAGTGTACAGGGCTTGGTTCACTGTTCCATTCGAACCAAAACTTTCTGTAGGCCTCAGGTAAATTTTTGGCTTGATCTTTATCAATCCATTTTGGTTTATCGATCTTGTATTGTCTTAAAGCTCTAGCAAGCTTCTGAGCGTTGTGCTGGTAATAATATTGCATGATGCTAGTTCAGTATGTGATCATTAAGGTAGCGGTCAAAGTAAGGGAGCACTTACTTGCACTTAAAGTCACCGATTACTTGGCACATATTAAACAGTAAAAGATTAAAATATAGATTTGACAAAAGATCTATAAGGAGTGCACAACACACGGAGAGGATAAGTTCTCAGCAAATTCTTGAGACAGAGAACTGAGAGAACTCTCGATACGGAAATAAAAATGTGAAAGACTGAAACTATACACCATGTAGGTGCCTAATTGGAGAAAAGTCCAGGGCTAAAACCAACTTTTCGGCATAAGATAAGAAATCACGCACGCCAGACACGCTTCAGAAAAATGGACAATGGCGAAACACCGAAAAGATCAAAAGACGGACATCATGACGAGTTTCCTAACCTCTCAAAAGTTCAAAGCTTGGCTCCCGCTCCAGAGTTGCAAAATTTCATGAAAGATTCTAATATGAAATTTGATTCAGAATAGCTCTGACAGTGATTCCAAAAGTTTAAAAAAAATTTCATAGGAAAATTTCACTTCACTAATTGTGAAACTTTCTGGCCAAAATGAAATTTCCATGTGAAACTTCGCAACTCTGTTTGGCTCTGCGAAAGTTCTACTCTTTCTGGCCAATCAGAGAAGGCCATTGGTTGCCTTAGTTCTCTTTCTCAGCACCAGGGACCGCTCACATTACCATTACAGACGCCTCTAGTGCTACGTCATGTCTTTCTGTAGAAGTTGCTTTAGTTTTAGTGTGGTTTTAGTTCCCTCGCATTCTTCTCCCGCGCGAGTGTTTAGAGCTTTTGTGCTTTCCGTCTGGAATCCGCTTTTGCTGTCACTTTTGTGACCGTTTCGTCCTCCTTCAATTTCCAGTTTTGCCATTAAATTTTATCGCGTTACCATCAGTTTTTCGTGCATTGAATTCTACGGATCTCCTCAGTTCTGCTTAGTCGGTGTGATTACATTCGTAAGAGTTAATCTCAGCTTTAGGTGTAATCATCGTGGGAGTGGTTGTCAATTGTTATGTCATTTGTTCACTCTAATGTAAGTAAGTTAATGGTGAATTCTCATGCATTTTACTCTATTTGAGTTTATTTACTCAGCTCTATCGAATAACTCTCCTGCAAAGGGCGTTCCTCCCTCCAAGGGGAAGTGAACGAAGCAGTGGAGCATGGAGCTCAGAATGTCCCGTATGCGTTTTGAAGGTGTGACTTCGATAGTTTCGACCGTGTTACAAGGATGTCATGTTTGACTTTTTCATTTCAGTTGCTCACTGTAATACCTTACGTGCACGTAAATACCTTTAGCCTTGTATTCGATGGAGCTGTTTTTACCAATCAATATGTCTTGTAACTGTCATAAGTTAGGTTAGGGTTCCCTTATATTGGCAGATGTAATTGGCAAATCTGATTCTTTTAGGATGGGAGTGGCAGCTAGTTATCATGCAAAGATGAATGAATGGAATCATGGTGCTAGTACGTAAATCTTACAATTGGACGTACTGTAGCTGCAACAACCCTTGTCACTAGTAGCAATCATTCTGTATATGATCATGCGTATCTTACGCATGTTGCTGCTCTTTCCTCCTCTGCATATCCATCCTAGCTAAGATCCAGAGCTCCGGGGCCTGTTTTCGTCTTCAGAAAGGAGCAGTACCCTCCTTAAGATTGAATTCAAATTCCATTGGAATTAATTATTTAAGTGTTAACTACACCTGATGCCTTACTTACATTGTCTTTATGGTGGAAGATCCGAATCACCATTATCAAGCATTGTCATTATGACATGTTTAAGACTGATACTTAGAATCCACGTATGCTTTGTATTTGGTAATTTTGGTAGAACTTGTGTTACATAGGGTGGTAGTTGTCTCCCTCTGTTCATAAGTGTTTGTTCTGTTGTCACCTATCAGTAATCAAGAATTTATAGTGAATATCTACATTGCCATGCACAGGTATGTCCAACAGTCTGTAGGTGACAGCTTAACAGACCATGTAAATGACTGTGAACTATTTGGTGCAAGTTCTGAAACTGATAATCTGTTATCTGTCAGATACATGCTAACAACCGGGGAGGTATTTTTTACAACAGGAGTCATTTAATTGGTTAAAAGTAATCACCCCTGTTTGTTAATTTTTCAAATCTATGGTTTCAATTACTATGATAGAACCATAAACTCTGAAACTTAATTCATTAAATGTTTTATTGGTAAGTTATTTGTCATTCATCATTACTTACCGTTTTCCAACCTGTAATTCATATACTTTTTCAATTTAATCCTCTGACATTTTCACTTTCTGCTCATTTAAGCCTCCATTTATGAGCCATTTAGTAAATTTTTCGACCATTCCATTCATGATTCTCATAAAACTAATCCTCTCATTTTTTCCATGTTTCCCCAGAACTGTTCGAGATCAAATTCCATGGCTAATAAAATGGGACATGAACTGATGCAGGACTGTTTGATGATGAAAGACTTTCAGTTGGAAGCCAAGTGTTTGCAGCGTGCATCGTTGTCATGGATTTTTATGTGGTTTTAATGTGTAAGCTTCTCCTGAGCCAAGTGTCAAACAGGTGCTTTAAAATTTCCAGTTATTTGTACTCAAGTCGGTTAAATTGCCAGTGTGCCAAGTTCTTTTGGTAATTTCCTTATCGATCGTGATTGGTCTTCAAGTCGTCATCATGAAAGTTGCCGCGGGTGAATTAAGCACGGAGGAAAGACAAAATTTAGATAAATTCACTAAAAGCTTATTTTTAAAGTCGGCGCAAATCATCGTACAATCTCGGTTGGGTGAGAAAATACATACCAAGTGTAATCCGCAGCATGCAAGCACAGATTTGGTAAGTCAAATTTAAATTTGTTTTAGTAGCCGCAAGTTTTGAATGCATGTCTACTTGATTTGTAGTTAACTTTATGTTTGTCTATTATCCTTCATTTCCTGAAAAATTCTGATTACAGTAAAGAATTTTTTAACTGCCCCAGCCTTTAAAACTCAGAAATTGAAAGTAGTGTTGAGGTCTGTAATGCAAAATGGACTGGAAAGTGAGTTATTTCCATGTCATACGCTCATTCAAATACCTAGAATGATATAAGAAACTCTTTCCTGAACAGTGCAGTAAACACCATTTCATGATAAACTCGACTCGACGGGTTTGACCAGCTGTATTTTAAGTACAATTTATAATGAAAATGTTGAATGAAATGTGGTATTTGGGGGGGAGCATGCTACAGATAATGCGCTAAGATGGACTGAAAAAAAGAATTTTAAGCTCAAGTCCCCTGTTCCCTTAAGGAACCCCCTAACCCCCCCCCCCCAAAAAAAAATCAAGTCCCCTTATTCTTGCCTTACCATCTTTCAACAAAATATTGTAATACAGGGTTGCTAGTGGTCTGGAAAATGAGGGAAACCCAAGGAATTTGGGCAACTAGGTAAAGTTAGGAGAAGTCAGGAAACTTGTGGGAAAATTCAGGGAATTTTTGTTACATCTACTAAGCACCAGAACATCTCACTGATCTTCCAACTGTGCTCCTTCTCTGGTCCTTTTAAGGCTTGTCATCTTCTATCTAGCTACTGAATGCTTTTAACCAGGAAATTTTGTTGAAATTTAGCAAAAGTCAGCATAGTTTAAAAAAATCGGTAGAAATTTTGTTCCGAGATCAGGTAAAGTCAGGGGATTAAAAAATTTTGAAGTCAGGGGAATGCAAAAGTAGTCTGGTAAAAGTCAAGGAATTTGGAGATGAAGAAATTATATCATTAAAGTGTTTTTAATCCTCTGGCAGCCACCAAGAAATTCTNGGGGGGGGGGGGGGGGGTGTCAACAACTTCATTATCCATGAACTGAACGGAAATGCCCCATGTCAACTGTTTGAAAATATGTCCCTTTTTTTTAGTGTATTTTCCGAAGAAAGTACACTATTTTTTTCCTTTTGCTACTAAGTAGGACTCCAGAAAATTTTCAGCCATCCGTTCATCGCATGGTTACATCTTCCCATAGTAATTGTCGAAATCTAAGGTACAAAGATATAAACGTATTTTTTGTAGGCATTGTCCACTTAGTACATTTTTAGAAGTACACGAAAATATTTTCAAATGTTCTTCATTTTACTGAATCGAAATCTTTGAAAGTCGTTGGTATGAAAAAAGCCGTCATGGCCCATGAACCCTGTTGAGGAGTACCTAATTCCATGGTCTCCTAAAATTTATGCCAAGTTTTTGTTACGGAGAAAGTACTTTTCTTCACCCTTGAAGTCAAGCTATTTTGGCAGAGATTATGTGACAGCATTCGGTACCGATATCTCATAGTCGTAAGTGTCTAGACACATCTCCACGTGCGCGCAAGTTTTATTCTTGGCTGACGATAATGAGAATTCCTTGAATTCGGGCGGCGCCGCTTTAAGCACTGTCGGTATTCAGGTTCCCTGGTTGCCAGGCTATGTGTTTACTTTCTAAGCTCCTGCTTTTTTCAAGTTAAATACTTTCCGATTTCCCCATATGAAGCTGTGGTAAATAATCGATTATTAAGTGTTCGCCAACCATTCCCCTGTTCCCCTGTTTATCGAGCCTTTCCCATAGGATTAAATGGCAGATCAGTTGATATACATCGCAAAACACGCCACGCCTCTGAATTCTATCCTGCCGTGATAAGAAGAAGCGTTCAAGCATTCATATTATTTCAAAGCTAATCTCCTTTTATAGATCATCTTTGGATCATTCCATCGAGTTTTTCATGCAAATTCGGCCGTAAATACTTAAATCAATATAGTCTTGCTGATCGTTTAAAAGGAAGATGCCCTTTTTTTCATGAATAAATATTTTATTGGGGGGAATCTGACAACATTAGAACCCTCATAAGTCGGTCTTTTTAAAAGGCATCGTTGCTCGTTCTCGTAAGTTGACAAACGTGCCTTCTGCTCCATGGATGTCAAGAATGTAATCGCTTTTCCGCTGATACCGAAAGTGTCAACCTGAGTGTAGTTGAGTTCCTAGAAAATTCGTAGTTTACGACAATCGTTTATCACCCGGGAAACCCTGTAGCTAATTACGGTTTGCTCGAAGTTACTGAGTATTTGGTCGACATGTCCATCAACCGGGTGGAAGCTCTTAATGAACGGGGAAATCGAAGAACACCCGGAGTTCGGGAGAAAATACTTGTCCAAAATTGTAACTTCTTCCAAGCTGAAAGCTGTTTATGTCGAAGGCAAATACTTAGTCGAATCAGGCATTTCATCAAATGCAAAATATAAACTTTATCGGAGGAAATTTGGCAACACTCGATTGTTGATACGGCCTTTTTCCGGCCGCACGGAAAAATTCGGTTCAGATCCCGCATCCTCAGGGACTTGATCATCGTGCATTAGGAACCTTCATTGGAGGAGCCAGCGCAGCGCAAGGCTGGACGTCCCAGATGAGTCACTGTTGCGCGACACACGAGGGTGGCCACCAATAAATGTGTCACAGAATAAGGGCCCGGCTCCTCACTCACTGGGACGCAGCGTTATCAGGGCTTATAACGCCGAGCAGGCCCGTTCCGTCAGCGAGCTTAGCCGCATTCGCTGGAGGCTGGAGGCATCCTCACCGCGCTGCCTCCCGCTGGGGGTTCACTCAACTCGGATGTTCCGACCTGGATTCAACTGGTGCCGAGCCGCCCAGCGCTGGATCCATCGGTGACGTCGACGCCCTGTAGACCGGAAACGGTGACGCACTCGTGCATTGACAACACCCATTTAAACGCATGTGAAACAATTGATTAATATCGAAGCACCCGACTCGGATTCGACTGACGCCCAAATCGCCATCCGTCGATGACGTCATTGACGTTCGCGGACCGGAAACGATGACGCAATGGAGAATTTGCATGCAAATTTTTTATTTCTCAAGTAAGTAACTGAAAGAGCTTAAAGAGTTGATTTTGCAGTATTTTTTAGAATTTCTTTCTGTTATGGGAAAGGGTATAAAAATAGATTTAAAAGGGTGAAAATGCACCGCCTAGTGACGTCATCTGGCGGCATTTCCCATTTAAACATACGTATTTTAGCAGAGTGGATCATTGTGTTATATCTTCTCCAATAACTGTTCAAATCGTGAATCAAGGGCATCCTCGTGTTCAGTTCACTCAGTAGTTTCCACTTGAACAAGAAGTTCATCAAATTTCAGACACCTGCAAATTCTATATATTGTGAGTGGACAACACCGGTTCCGAAGCGGGCTTGACGTTTACTCAGCTCGGAAGTTCCGACCTGGATCCAACTGGTTGCGCCCAGATCGGGACCCATTGGTTGCGCACTCCGCTTCGCCCATTTAAACGCGTGTGAAACAGTCGATCTCTACGAGAAGACGAGCTTACATCACATAGATTTTTTTAATGGATTTTCATTGATCCTCAAGTAATCAGTGATGTAAGACATCTTCTCTACAAGCTGTGGACCCTGCCGCACCCTAGCTTGATTTATATTACTCACTGGACTTTCTTCTAACACTTGAGCGAAAAAAGAATACAAGCAATTCGAGGTGCGCCTTCTATTTCGTCTCTGGAGTGACCATGTACCTTTGACTTCGCCGTGGCATTCGTCGCTCTTAGATCCGAGAAAGTAGAGGCTCCAGCCCACATTTTAGGACGGCAAAGTTGTAATGTATTTAAACACCTATAGACTTTTCCGCAGACATTGTTGCGATCAAAATCAGTAATGTATCGCTTATTCGGCACAATAAGCAACGCTGGAATTACGTCACAGTGTAAGAAAAATAAGAAAACCACCATTACTTAGGGTTGTCTGCGATCAACATTCATTTTAACTCCTAAATGCAACTATTCGGGCCCCGTGGATTTCCATATTGCATACACACAATAGTGAAGGGGGTTTTGACTGTCCTGGCACTCCCCACTTCCCCCGCGACGTGACGTCAACGGCTAGCCTTGCAAGGATCCGAAAGGGCGAGGCGTTTTCAATTCTTCGTTCATACTACAAAGATATCTCATAGGCACGAATAGTTGCGTCCAGGCGTAGGATATGAGAATCTTTTAAGCTTTAGTTTTAATATAGCAATGCGCTGAGCATGATTTGTAGAGCGACTATCCATGTCTAAGAGATGTCCTCGAGATACAAATGTAGATTTGAAGACTCTCGGTTGTGTTAAGTCTTCGCAGTAAAGCCCGCCCCACTGCAAAACGAGTCTTTCCGAGATGTTGAACATGGAATTTTCGACTAAAACCGCAAATTTTGATGTTTATTTCTTCTCATTATAAATTTTCTGGGGTCCCACTTGACGGAAAGTTTACGAGATAATCAATGAAAACGACTCTGAGCTTTGAAATTTCCATATCTTGTGTTACTCCTCTTATTGACTCACTCCACTGAGCGCCGCTGGTGAGGCGGTCAGTGTCTAAAGTCAAAACGCCTTCATTTCTATGCTTATGCAACACGGACATCCATGGAGCCCGAATAGTTGCATCCAGGCGTCATGATAGTTTTTGCTCGGTATCGCATACGACACTCACCGCAGTTTGGATTGTTTTATTGTTACCAGAGCAGTTGAATCACTAAAACTAAAGGTTTAAACTGAAGATTAATAAATGAATGCCCTTCTCCTCCATTTAGCTAAGCCGATTGATTCAACGTTAAGTTGGTTGCGCAGAATTTGAGATATTTTGAACCGGAAATGCGAGTGAAAGTGGAAGATTTTTTCTCTGTGTGAAATCTGTTAGACACTCCGTGGATGCACAATTTAAATTCTGTCATAGACCGGTTTGTTTACGTGGCGGAGAGGCAGAGCAGATGCCGCGCGTGTTTTTTTTTTCGCCCGTCGAACAAACACGACCTAGGCAACCTGTCCCGCCAACCG